TAATATACAACACTGTATGGTTGGTTCTTGACAAAATAGACTCGTCCTATGCACGGCCCTGGACAATTTTTTAATATTCCATCCTTTTAGGTTTACAAGGCACCCCAACCCGATGGGTGCCATGTTGAGTGGTGAAGGGATTCTGTGAAAAGAAACAACCCTCGGAACTGTAGTTTTGTGAAAAATTATACCAATGAGAGTGAGTAATTCTGTAAAACACATGTTTAAAAGTGTGCTTTTATGAGACGTTATTTCAAATTAAGATCTGCTTTCTGTTATGTCAATCAAAGTGTCTCCTTGTGAAATTTTATGTCATTTAAGGGTATGGTTATGTATCATTAAAAAGTGTGTGCATTTATAGATTTGATAAAAGGACTGCAGTGTCAAATAATTTGCATATGCAGGTTTTAAACAGGGGAGCTGGTATTGTTATCTCTCCAGCCAGTTGGCCACCCCCTTGTATGTTGCTCCCAGAATTCTTTCATTTGATTGAACGATGCAGCAGCAATCCTTGCAATTTGAGAATGTGCGTCACTTTGTTTTGTTAGCCCACAGACCACAGCTCTGTTCTGGGCACATGCCTACTTTGACCTCCAGGCAACTCCATTCTCACCAGCATGATTTAAACTTTTTGAAGCATTTCCTTGGGAAGGTTTCCTATTACTCTTGCAGAAACCATAGAGACTCGAGGAACAAAAATCGATGAATTGATTTCTGGTAGATACTTCTCTGGTATACAAGAAACCTTTGATATCATGATGAAGTATATTCTTGGCATGGCAAGTATGCAGCCCTTTCGTAAGCTGCTCTGTATAAATTAAAAAAGAAGAATGTTTGAGAAATATGAATAGACCTTTTTAATCAAGATAATTTTGTAGCGAGCAAACTAAGTGATAGGTTGCATTGGTGTTTTCCCCCCTGTGGTCTGTTCTGTTGGGTATGCTCTGCTTTCAGGTGCTAATTCTGTTTTTGATGGACCCTGTGTTTCGTATTACTTCAGTTGTCAGTTATATTGCTCCTGTTTTGCACAATGGCAATTGGTACCACTGCTTTAACTGTCACAATTCCTGTTTTGTGCCTTGCTGATCGGCTCTTTCTTTTCCAATATGTATGCTTGAGCCCCTGTGCAACACCATGTGTACTCTCTGTTTTCTTGTTGCATGTACATCCATCTTTAGCTTTTGATTCAGGTGATATCCGTCTATAAAGTTTACCGGTGTGTCTATGATAGGATGCATGACTAGTTTAAGTTTGACCATTTGTTTGGTTTTGTACAGAGATGCCAATTGGTTTAGCTTCTTTTACCCTGTGCTTAATATTCCTCAATTTTTCAGAGAGAGGGATTATGTGTTGGGAGGGATTTCTATCATCGGGGGTTGCACAATACGAAAACCAAGCTTTTCTGGCTGTACTTTTTTGCTTTGGAGATTTGTAAGGCCATCACCTTTTTTTTTTTTTGCAGTTTATAGTTCTGTATGAATCGCATCAAGAATCATAGTCTCAGAGAGTTATTTTCGTGTCTCGGCTATCGTTTCTAAGACAAAGTTTAAGTTCCTTTTGTGCTTTTGCTTCTCTTATTACATAACACAGTTTGTCATCATTACGTGTGAAGTAAAATTTGCGGCGGCATCTAAAGCAAGGCGATGTATCCGGACATCCGGTGCAAACCTGAAAACTTAAATCGAGTGCCATTAGATCTACAACAAACGCATCCGCTCAAAGGTGGAACCCCGACCTGCCACTTAAAACACTACTGTACTTAGCAGATAACCCCTCTTTCCTACTCCCTCTGTCCTGTAATGTAAGACGTTTTAGTGTCAAAAAAACGTCTTAGGACAGAGGGAGTAATAATTTAGCTGGATCGACTTATCCCCTCCCGCTCCTACTTCCTGTACTGCAGAGAAAGCCTGAGGCTTGGCGGCCACAACCGGAGGAGCTCTCAACGTTCACGCCGGAAACACCGGCCATGGAGGTGAGGTAGAGCGACACCGGTGCCCGTGAACTGCAGGGGGGCACGTCCAGCACAGTGCGGCCGTTAATTTCGTGTAGGCAATCTCTGATTCAGTTCGTCTTGTACATATTATTCCCTTTGATTTTGTAGCTCCTCCTTAGTGAACTTCTAGCTGAATGCTGATGTAATTTGTCTATGTATGATGCTATGAACGTTATCACTCAAGATTCAATGTAAAATTTTGCTTCTGTTAATTTGATTCTGGAGTGAATTGGTTGTAGAAATCTACTGAGAAATGGTTATTTATCACACGGAGCGACATGAGTAAAGTCTGGGTTGGGTACTAACAACTTTAGCAAGCACTACTCTCAGCCTGTGAATAATGATGGAAACACCATTGCAACTAGCTACATGGTTGCACCTTTGAGTCAGAAGTATAGAAGAAGACTGTTAAAAGGAGATGAAAATGTGTACATGAACTAAAAATATGTGCATGAACGAACAAACAGATGGCTCGTGAACCACAAAATTGTTCAATCAGGGGCAAGAACTGAAAATGCAGTAAGCCTCAAAAGGTTGCACTTGCATGCTTGCAGCAAAGAGCAATTCATGTTCCTAAACTGGACATGCAGTGAGCAGTTCATATATTCCTACTCTTTCCTAAAAGATAACAAGCAGACTCATAACTGGTTGGTTCATTTATGCGGTAGAAAAGAACCTCCAAAATGACACAAATCGTCTCCTGATTAAATAGTGAACGCGAGAGTTTTATGGACAGTTCTTTGTAGAAGTTGTAAATTTACCAATCTCAAGAAATGAATCCTGCAGTCATTCAAGCATGAAGCAGGCCCTGCTGGTAAGACAAACTCACTTTGTTTGTTTCAGGACAAACAAGATAGCAACTTCACATGACTTTGTTTGGGCAAATACAGAATTCAAATGACCATCTCGTGAAAACCTTTTGCAGTTAAGGATCATTAAATGCACTCGAATTCTGAGTATCTTCCGAAGAATCGAGGTTTTTTTTTTAAGTTTATGTTCTCCTCAGATCCAGGTACATGACATTCCAATTGCTTACAGGAATCAAGATCATTTTGTAGTGAGCAACTCGGCTTCCATTGCTGGTAAACTATCTAGCTCCTTCATCATCCTCGTTTATTAGACTGCTAGTCATCTGACTCTGCTCAGCAATCACCGGACAAGAAATTAGCACATCACTGACGCTAATCTACATGCCCATGGTACTGAAGAATACAGTACTTCAGAGGAGAATAATGTCAGCATCCAAACTCAACAAAACAGACCTACATCTGCACAAAATTCAGTTCCAAAAAGTATTAATATCGTATTTTGATTCCATATCGTATTTACCAAAGTATTAATATCATATATACCAAAAAACGTATTTACCGAATCGAACTAGCCGAATGTTCGGAGTCCACCGCGTTCCTAAATCAACGACCAAATGAGCAGGCAATATGATCGATAGCACCAAGCCACCTCACTATGCTGCTTGTGACACACTTGGATGCTCCTACCAAGGAAGAGGTTTGTCCTAAGTCAAACTTATTTACCTTTGACCAAGTATGTAGAAAAATATATATTGTTACTCCTTCTGTTTCAAAATAATTAAAGTTCTAGGTTTCATAAATCAAACTTTTTTAAGTCTGATCAAGTCTCTTTTTTTCGAATGTAAGTTTGACCAAGTATGTTGAAACATCTACATCGATCTACAAAATCAAATATATCTGGTATGAAAATATATTTCATAATGAATTTAATGAAGCAAGTTTGGTGTTGTATATGTTGATATATTTTTACGTAGATTTGGTCAAACTTGATGAAGTTTGACTTAGGACAAACTTAGAATTAGTTTGAAATGGAGGAAGTATTTAGAATATATATAATGAAAATATATTTTGTGACGAATCTAATGAAATAAATTTGATTTTGTAGATGTTTCCAAAACTTGGTTTTCAAATGGATGGAGAAGCCCCTTATCTGCTATAGTTCACTGTAGTTCACTATGCATCGATCATGTGGAGCAGACGGCGGTGAAACAACCTAATTGGCTTTACCTGCAGGAGATGATTCCAAGCAACCTAATTGACCGGAAATAAGGAAGGGATTGTACCAACAAATGCCGCTTCGTATCTAGTAAAAAATGTTTCAGTACAGAACAAAAGAATTCTTGAAATGATGACTACCATATCATCGTATCTAGTCAAATTCCACCTCGTTCAATTCCTTGGACGATTCCACTTAATTCCTGCACCTATCATCAGGTGTCAAAGGAGGCAAATCTAAGTTAACTACATTATCACAGTCAGTAGCAAACTGCAAAGACAATGTTCGCTGGGTAAATGAGAATATACCAAACGTGGATATTTCATGACCTGTACACTGAATCAGTTTCTGATTTATTTCAACAGGGAAATCTAACAAGGACATGCAATACATAAGTAAACAACGTGTAGAAAGATGCAGCTCATTTTAATTATCAGGCACAAACAAAATGGAACAGTAATTTGGCAACAGAGACTATACTTGCTATCTGCTGAAGCATTGTGCCAAATGTTAACATTTCAGAGAGCAGTAACAGGCACTGAAGAATACTACCGTACGTCAGAGCAGAAATTCAAACTCAAGCCTGCATGTACAATTCCTCGAAAACCGTAGATACATACACCAAAACAGCAAACTGCATCCGCAGAAATTTCAGTTCCAGAAAGAATCCACTAAACATGTACGTATATTTCTGGCAAGGTTTCTATATCCACTCTCTGATAACAACAACAAAACTCATGAACAATGTGTTCACTCGGTGCTTCAGGTGTTCGCCACCACACCGCCAGTAACTAAGGACAGAATCATCTACTTGTACAATCTTTCGAGTACTTCCAGTTGATTGCCTCCAGACTCCTAACACGAAGAACAGCTTTCTGAAGTTTCCTAATTCCTCTTCCCACTGCAAATGAAGGTACGGTACCGATTTGTCTTCCGCTGCACTGTGACTGTTGGCTCACTCGTCGAATTCCTCCCGGATCTTCTACTTCCTGCAGCTGTCAGAGGAGTCAAAGAGCAAAGACAAGATTCGTCAGGCAAATGAGAATAGACTAGTGTCTGCTTTCACAGTAAACATTTCGTCAGGCAAACACAAGATTCGTCACGTAAATGAGCAAAGACAAGATTCAAAGGATTACTTCTTCTTGACTTTCACAGTAAACTAGTGTCTGCTTCAAAATTTCTAACAGGACATGCAATGCATAAGGAATTTTGAAAAAGGATGCAGGTCATTTTTTATCAGGCACTAGCTGCCTCTGACTACTTGCTATCTGCTCAAGCATCGTGCCAAATGCTAACATTTCAGAGAGCTAGTTGTACCTGTAACAGGCATATGTTGCAGAAAGTTAAAAGATCTTCAGAGGCATCATGTAATTAACGTTGATACCTTGTGGAAGAAGAAGATCCTGATGTTTTATTCTTCTTTCGAGGCGAACGGTCGTTCCTGTCATCCTCTTGGTCACTCTTTTCATCCTCCCAGTCAACAGCTTCGTCATTTTTATGCTCTGCCCTGGTCAAGCTTGCCAATCTTCTGGGAAGAAAAACATTGTAGCAGTACTTTGCAAGATCCTTTGTTTCCTTTTGTCCTAGCTCCTTCAAGGCAGTCTCCATGAACTTCTGGGGTTTATTCTGTGGAACCAACTTGTCAAGATCTTCGAGTTTCTTTCTGTCAACTGAAGCCCATAACTCTGCAACTTGCTCACCCATCGCATCAAGCCCGCAGTTTCTGAAAGCTTCCTCACCCAACTGATCCTTGATCCAGCTCCTCGCCTTGCCGACATGAACGCGTACACAGTCCTCGGATCCTGGATGGGCACACCTGCACCTGTCCACCACTTCTTTCCTCATCTTCTCTGACTCATCACTGGCTGGGATATCTATGTTCAGGCGACAGACAGTTGTGCCCAGTTTTGCTAAGGTTGCAGCTTTGTAATCATCAGCTTCTGCTTCAGATGCAGCAGTTTTCCACTCAGGGATAGCAGCTAGATGATTCACAGGGACTGTTCTAACACGCTTCTGTGCATAACTTGACAAGTTGCTGATCTTAGGAGCTACTCCTTCCTGTGAACAAGCAGACTGAGTTAGACGCAGGTTCTTTCAAACAACACTGGATAAAAGAACTCAAACAATGTGGAGACGATTTTTGAACTAAATTTCGCAAGAAACCGGAGAAATTCGTCCAAATTTCGCACAAATCCTAAATCCTAATGTCCCCAAATTTCGCACAAATCCTGATATCCACAAGAACTCGGAAGAATTCGCACCTGGGAGTGAGATTTGGAGCGTGCCTGGCGCAACCCCGCGATCATCTTCTGCGTCGGCTCGATGTGCGCGCGGCCGCGCCCCCGCATCCCCGTGGCCACCACCCGCGCCAGCCAGACCGCCGCGTCGGCCTCGGCCAGGCCATTCCGCTTGCCCGCGTGTCTGGGAACCAAAGGGAGGAGGCCACCACCGCCTCCGCCGCTGCTTGTTCCTCCCCCTCGTCCGCCACCACCTCCGCCCCGCCTCTTCCGAGCCTTCGTCGAAATTATCTTAGGAGCCGCTCCTTCCTGGAACAAGCAATGTGGAGACGATTTCAACTCAATTTCGCAAGAAATCTCGCAAGAAATTGGGACAATTTTGCACAAATCCTAATACCCGCAAGAACTCCGAAGAATTCTAACCTGGGAGTCGGAGCGTGCCTGGCGCAGCCCGGCGATCATCCTCTGAGTCAGCTCGATCTCCGCGCGGACGCGCCCCCGCGCCAGCCAGAGCACCCCGTCGGCCTCGGCCAGGCCTTTCGGCGTGCCAGCGTCTTCGAACGCGCGCCGTGTCAGCAGCGCCGCACCCCGTCTCGGAACCAACGAGAGGAGGCCTCCGCGCCTAGGGCTCCCTCCACCGCCGCCGCCGCTCCCGCTTCTTCCTCCCCCTCCTCCGCCGGCACCTCCGCGCCGCCTCTTCCGAGCCTTGGTCGCCATGACGGCAAACACCAAGGAGAGCGCAGCGAGCGCAATCACCAGAGCTACCTCCACGGGGAAGGGTCTCGCCGCCGAGGACGCCCGGAAGTACTCTTCCCAATCCCTCGTATCGAATTGCTCGAGATCCTCCCGCGTCACAAGAAGAACAGGCCCGAGCCGGGGCTCTGCGAACTCCAATGCCGAGCAATCTCCTCCTCTGGTGTTTTCTGGCTGTGGCCGCATTGATCGCAGCAACGAAACCTGCATCTCCGGCAGGTGCTATATGAGCAGCAGTAGGATATGGTACGCTTCTTCGAAAGCCTTGTCTGATATGGGAAATTTTGGCCGCATCTTGGGCGTTGGCGGCGAGGAACAGGAGCGACGATGAGAGGAAGAAGCTTA